AAATTAGGGCCAAAGTTCATTGGATCTTTCCCTATCACTAGGATCATCAATCCAGTGACAGTAGAACTACTCCTTCAAAAAAAAACCACCCACTTTCTTAAGTAAGAAGGAGAGGCAATCCTTACAATTGGGCTGAGAGAGTGTGATGGAGATGAAAACTGGCCCTGTATCCCACTTCTTCATATTTGTATTCTCTTATTGCTTCTCAGAAACCTACAAGCAAGTCTTCTTCTATTGGCTTTCCAAAAACATTTTAATGTGGTTTTGAAAAGCCAGGTGTTATCACCACAATTTAAATGAAAAATAATAAAAAAAACAGAAGTCTTGAAAGATCATCAAACCTTATGAGAGCTTGGCACTCAAGTGCAACATTTTGAGAGATTTTGCACTACGATTCTAATTGCTCCTAACATTTTAGCAATCTCACAACAGTGCAGGGAATTTTGGAGGGTGGTGTTTCTTGGGAAATCCAAATAAAATCCCAGAGTTTATTTCTAGTATACCAAAATTCATTTTAACAATAAACAATACATTAGTAATTTGCTGATTTAGTTCAATGCACTTCCAGGGGACTTTAAGAGACACCCCCCCCCACCCAGTGTCAAAGTCACATCACCAGAATAGCTGGGGCCAAATGTTTTGACCTGGGGTTGTAAGAATGGGGGATGGAGCAGGAGGTGGCTGCTGGCAAACTGATCCCATCCTTATCATTCCATCCTTCAAAAATGAATCCCCTCACCACAGATTTAATTGCTTGAAAGGGACAGCATTGCCTGCAATTCTCATTACTGGGAGAGGTTGCATGTTGCTTCTGGGTGGGGGAGGCTCAGTCACCTTACCCAGTTCCCCTCCACTGTTTCTCTCTCTCTCTCTCTCTCTCTCTCTCTCTCTCTCTCTCTCTCACTCACTCACTCACTCACTCACTCACACACACACACAGGTTTGATCGCTGTGCAGCCACCTGCCCTGTTGCTGATCTCTCTCTCGATCTCTCCCTCCCTCCCCCTTCCTTCTTTCCTTCATTCCACTGCTCACGGCAGGAGCCTGCATGGTGCGTTGTGTCATTGCATGCATGAGCGGTGTGCCTGGTGCAATGAGCCATGCAGCATCCTGCTGCAAGTGGTTGCCAGCAGCTGCAGAAGTCAGGCAGCGGTGTGACAAGTGTTGGGGCATGGGAGGCCTGGCTGCAGCGGTGCTAAGGTAAGTCTATGCGGGGTGCATGGAGCAGCTCCACCCCCTCTACCCCGCCCTAGCTTGATTTTTATGCCTATACCTTGCACCACCTTCTACAATCAGACAGTGTGTGGGGCTTAATTAGGGCTTATTTTCAGGGTAGGGCTTATATTAGGCACAGGCTTGTTTTGGGGGTAAGTTCCCCTGTATTTTGGGGAAAACACAGTACTTGTCCCAGAGTAGAATCCTCAAGGCACCCTCCAATTTAACCCTGTGTTATCTTCACTAGCTAGTTCTGTGTAATAATCACCAACCTGATTGCTTGAGATCACCTGCAGGAGAGCAGAGACATTGAAGGACAACACAATGATGTCATCATATAAATTATGTCATATGCATTGTTTGCATGGTAGCATTGGGATGTCAAGGTGGTTCCCACCAGATGTTTATGATTGCACTGGTAGCCAAGAGTCTTTGCCTGCCCTGCCCATTGTTTTTTATGAATTGGATCCAATTTCCACAGGTGTGCAGCAAGGCATGGGAGCATTGCTGAGCTCTATGGAGGGCAGGTGAAAGCCCCCCTTGAGACCAGCGCTTCCCCACTGGCCAATGCCAATAAGGCAAGTTTTGAAACCCTGCTTGGTGCTTGAATAAATTGCCTGCAGTCATTTGGGGACCCCATGTGGTGAGGGGTTACTTAATGATTTGCATTTTTTGCTCTTTTAGGGATTCTGGCCTACAGGTGCTCTTGGGTGAGGCCTAAAAGGAAAAGGAGACTTACAGGTACCTGACTGGCAAGGCTCAGGTTTGCTGCTGTGGCTTTCTTCTTGCTGTTGGTGCTGTTGATATTATTCCCAGCACTGCTGTTGGAGGTGCTGCCAGTAGAATTTTTCCTTTTTCTCCTTTTGGTGGTGGGCTGTCTTGCAGGCTCTGCTGTGGGAGAGAAAAGCCTGAGATGCAACACAAAGGCCTATGCAGAGAATTGAAGGAGCCTGACTGCCATGCATGAGTCTGCACCCTCTTGATTTTGTTAAAAGGGGACAGGCACAACATTGAAAAAAGGGCTAACTATTGGGAAAGTTAACCTGAGTCAAAAAGCACGTATAAATTAAGAAGTAGGAAAAAGAAGGAACGGTTATTTATAGTTTGGCATCCATGATACAAAAACAATGCTCTGCTATATGCTATTCTGTAATTCAGTATAGATTGTGTTGTATTATAGTAGTGTTTCCCAACTTTAACAACTTTCACATATGTGGACTTCAGCTCAGAATTCCCTAGTCCAGGGGTCCCCAACCACCGGTCCACGGACCGGTACTGGTCCGTGGAACAAGTCCTACCGGGCCGCTGGTTTGCTGGGCGCCGCCATCTTTTTTTGATGAAAAAGTGCTTCCGGTGAGCTTTTCCGGGTAGAAAGCTCACCGGAAGCACTTTTTCATCAAAAAAAGATGGCGGCGCCCAGCTAATGCCGGTACCGGGCCGCGCCATAAAAAAGGTTGGGGATACCGGGCCGCGGCATAAGAAAGGTTGGGGATCACTGCCCTAGTCAACAATGCTGGCTGGGGAATTCTGGGAGTTGAAATCCACATAACCTTGCCAAGGTTGGGAAATACTGTATCATAGTAATAGTATTTTACAGTCCTTGCACAAAGTTGCTTGCCACAGTCAACTGAGCAAAAAGAGGAGACAAATTGCTTAGATTCATAATGGGCACTGTCAAGAAACTAGATTACCTTAGCTCAGAGTCAGAATAGAAACTTTACGTCCATTCACTTTGCCCTGTAGAAGTCAAATAAGTCCTGAAGTGGGAAGGTCAGAGAAATGCATTGAATTAAAAATATTTTCTACCAGAAAGATCTCATAATGGGTGTACATAGGGTTGGAAAGGACCTTGGAAATATTCCAGTCCAACCTCCTATCCAAGGCAAAAGTCCTACCATCTTGGACAAATGGTTGCCCAATCTTTTCTTGAAAACTGCCAGCAATGGAGCACCTACACAGTTGGCAGCCTATCTATTGGTTGCATGTAAACAAGCGCATGGCCTGAGCTATAATGTAACAACATTCCTTAAATTGTGAAGGCCTATAGTTATTGGATACTAAAATACAACAAGATGATAATCTGAAAAGATTTGAATCATTAATAGTATAAAATGGCTATAATGGATTATTCAACAGGCTTTGGCAAATCTTTAATGCTGCTGCAGCTACATTTAGTTATTTGTTATCAAATCTTGCTAGACCATTCATAAAGGAGAACATCAATCTACAATAGCAAATGAAAGACAAAACATGAAAACGGGATTAAAATAGCTAATTGTGCTACATGGCTGACTGAAGAGATAGCCAAATGATGAAAACAGTGTTGTGACAGGACACATGAAAGGGATGGAGCTTGCCTTTTGAGGGAGTGGACATTGCTTTCATCATTTGGATGAAAGGCATCTATGAATAGGGCACTTCAAAACATTTGCATGTAAACATGGAAAAGATGTACATATTTAAATATATAAATATACCCTTCTGGAACCCATGGCAACCTGAGAAACATCATGAAAGAGGGATCTGCTTGCAGGAGCAGAGGACAGAATAGCTGCCCTTCTGTTTCCTCCTCTCTTCAGGACATACCAAACATCAGGCAACATAAAGATCAACTACATCTGGTGCCACATGGTAAATGAAAGGTTAAAAGGCCCACCTGGAATACTTCTCACCCTTCCTCATGGTAAGACCAATGTTGCCTAAGTTTGACTTCAGACATAATCTAAAAGCTTCAGACTCAACCATTTTTATCCCAGATGTTCTTGACTCTGCATATTGCAAAACATCTTGGGAATGTCACCTACATACTTTAGGAATTGTGCATTTTGGGCAACCTCCACAATGGCTGTCATGCTAATTTCCAGGCAAGTTGGGTTTCCATACCTCTTTTTAGGGTGTAAGATTACATCTGTACATGATCCAGAAGTCCTTCATGCAACTAAGAAGATGGAAAAGTAGTTCCAGGTGCTAGGCAGAACATATTCTTTGCATTATATAATGCACACCATTTGTACAATGGCAATCATCACGTGTCAGATCTCTCTTTCCCTATCTCCGTCTCATAGAAATGCTCACATCTAGGAATCCAATAATTCTATTGAAACACTGATTTAGAGTGAATATCTGCAGAATAGTCACAGGACTTTTAGTGGTATTCCATGTTCTTAAATTCTTATTCTTTCACTCATTTAGAATCAGAGACCAGAGAGAATTCCTACCTGGAGGTGCCACCATCCGCTGCCATTTTTGAAACAAACATGTTTTCAAGCAGTCCCGAGGACTTAAATTATATGTTTTATGTCTTGACATTAGTTCTTGCATTGGCTCCAATATTACACACAACTGCAAAGAAGGAACAGAAAAAAAAACATTTCTGGACATTTTAAGATTCAACCATTTCTTTTGTTGCTTTCCAACTTCCTATTTTCCTGCCACGCACAGAATTATGAATATAAATTGTAATTAATAGGAAATTTCCTAGTTTTAGGTTTTAAACATGGAAAGGCTCATTATTTTGCTGGAAATAAATATGAAGTGAGTAGTATAACCTTTTAGTTGTTTGGATTTTAATCAGATCAATACATTCGCACTTCTAATGCCTGGGGAAGGTTTACAAAGATCTCTCCAATGTATGGTTGCCATCACAATCCCTGTTTCCCACTAATCAAATGTTCCCTACCTCCATTTCCCCATCCCCCCCCCCCCCCCCCCGCAGCTAACCCAGGAGCATCAAAATTCTGCTCTTGTGTTGTGAAGGTCCTTGGCATAGAACAGATATGTTAAACTCAAGGGCCACAGGCCAGATCTAGCCCGCAATGGGTTTAGATCTGGCTTACAGGGCTGCCCTGGAGACAGCAAGGGGCTGGTCCCCTGTTGCCTTGGACCCGACCTGGCACTCCCCCTGGGTGTGCACACAGGAGGTGAATGTGCAGGGGCTTGTGGTGCCCAGCAACAGCTGCAACTCATTGCCCCCTTGGCTGCTCATTGGTCAGCAGCAACGGCCAGCTGGATGTGAGCCCAAAATGTCCAATAAGTTGTGCTTGGCCCCATCCTGCTCCACACTCATGCACCTTGGGGCCCCACAGCCAGGCCACCCTGCCCCACCACCTGCCTTGCCTTGCTCTGTGGCAGTGGCCCTGGCAACAGCAGCCCCATCCAGCAGAAGCCCCACTGCCCATTCGCTCTCCTTCAGCCTTTGAAACCCGTGAGCCTGGAGGGTAAGGGGGCCAGGGCTGGGCCAGACATCAGGGTCCCAGTGCCCTGGCAGCTCAAGGGCTGGGTGGCCACAGCAGTTTCTATGGGAAGAGGGGAGCGGGAAGGAAGGAGGAGAAAGAGGAGGAGAAAAAGACACCACCCAGGTACAACAACAGTGGCTAGGAGCCGCTGCCACTGCTTACACCATGGAGGCAGGATTGGTTGAGGGAGTGGGAGGAGCAGAGGCAAGCGGTGGGCTTTCAGTTTGGCATGGAGCGTTGCAGAAGCCACTGTTGCCACCTGCCCACCAGCTCCCAGGTGGTGCTTTCTATGCGGACTACAGTGTTGCCACATTGAGCAGGAGGGGGACGGACTCTGCTCTCCATCTCCTAAATTCCAGCCCCTGCTTTGCTTCTTTGTTGACTGGGGTTTACAAGGAAGTCTATCCGACTAGTTGCCTTTGGGGCCTTGGTCCTTCCAACTCACTCCTGGTTTGCAGAGTTGAGGTTACTGCGCTTCCCATATTGCAGAGGAGGCCACAAGAGTGAAGGAGCCCAATCAAAAGGCGAGTTCAGTTTTTGTTCTGTCTGTTGTTACCTCATGTGGGATTTGATGCCCTGAATAAAAAAGAAGCCTTTTCATTAAGGCATTGTCATTCAATTCTTACTTACTTATCCAATTAAGTCTATTTACTATATTTAACATGATAAATATAGTAAATAGCACAAGCCAGTTACCTTAAGCAGCAGTTGTGTGAGATAGTTTATTTTGAGACTAGTTCTGGGCTAAACCCTGTCTAGAGCCCATCTACAGTTGTGTTACAACTTTTAAACTGTGTTTGCTTGAGATGTCTAATCCCTCACATTTTCCCAAGTCATTTTATCACCTCCAGACATCAATGAAGTACAGTTCATGTATTGAGTTAGTCCTAGGCTTTATATGGAAAGCTGAAAAGTTTGAAGATTTTTTTTGTCCCCTTTTGGTTAAAATTGATTTTTTTAAAAGTACTTATGACCATTTACGACATTTGCAGCATCCCCTTGATCGTGTGATCAAAATTCAGATGTTTGGCAATTGGTTCATATTTATGATCGTTGCTTTGTCCCCAAGGTCATGTTTTTATTTTATTTATTTTATTTGGTTTGTCAGTTGCTTACAAGATAATAAGTATAAGTAAAAACATAGTTATGAATACATGGATACATATAAGAAAAATAAAAGAAACAATAGGACAGGGATGGTAGGCATGTTGATGCGCTTATGCACGCCCCCTACAGACCTCTTAGGAAAGGGGTGAGCTCAATAGTAGAAAGTCTAAGGTTAAAGTTTTTGGGGTTTGGGGAAGAAACCACAGAGTCAGGTAGAGTATTCCAGACATTGACCACTCTGTTGCTGAAGTTGTATTTCCTGCAATCAAGTTTGGTGCGATTAACCTTGAGTTTGTATCTATTATTTGCTCTTGTGTTGTTATGGTTGAAGCTGAAGTATTCATTGACAGGTAAGTCATTGCAATATAAGATTTTATATACTATACTTAGATCGGACCGAAGGCGGTGTATTTCTAGCTTTTCTAGGTCTAGAATTTCAAGTCTGGTGGCATAAGGTATTCTGCAACGAGTAGAGGAGTGGAGAACTCTTCTTGTGAAATATTTCTGGACTTTCTCAACTGTGTTAATATCAGATATGTAATGCGGGTTCCAGACTGATGAGCTGTATTCAAGTATTGGTCTAGCAAATGTTTTGTATGCTCTTGTTAGTAGTGTGATATTACCAGAGAAAAAGCTATGTAGGATTAGGTTAACAACTCTTAATGCCTTCTTGTCTATGTAGTTACAGTGGGCTCTAGCACTTAGATCATTAGAGATGAGAACTCCAAGGTCCTTGACAGAGTTTGGATCATCAACAAGGTCTTGACTATTCAGCTTGTATTTTATTTTCTGATTTTTTTTGCCAATATGTAAGACAGAGCATTTATTTGTTCAGATTTGAAGTTGCTATTTGTTTGACCATTCTGATACATAGTCAAGGTCTTTTTGAAGGGTAGCAGTATTGTCTGTGGTGTTGAATAGCTTTACATCATCAGCGAAGAGAACACAGTTGCTCTTAATATGATCACAGAGGTCATTTATGTAGAGTATGAAGAGAGTTGGTCCTAGAACACTGCCTTGGGGGACACCACTATTGACAGGTACAGAATTTGATAGGACACTCCCAATTTTGACCATTTGTTGTCTGTTTGACAGGAATGCTTCTATCCAGTTATGCAGGTGTCCAGAGATACCATAAGATTTTAGTTGTAGGAGTAGTTTGTCGTGTACCACTGAATCAAAGGCTTTACAGAAGTCTATGTAGATTGCGTCTATTGCTTTGCCCTGATCGAGTTGCGTAGTCCATACGTTTTTGCAGTGTAAGAGTTGATCCCCTTTTAATAAGCAAAATCAACGGGGAAGCCACATTCACTTAACAATTGTGTTACCAACTTATCAACTGCAGTGATTCACTTAACAACTGTGGGAAGAAAGGTCGTAAATTCACTTAACAACAGAAATTTCGGGGTCAGTTGTGATCATAAGTCGAGGACTACCTGCACACTCATCTGGCCATTTGAAAGCAACCATAATGCTGATGCAGCCCTCAATGAAATTGAGTTTGACACCACTTGGCATAGAAGAACAAGAACACAACAAACCATGCCTGTGCTATCTCCACTTACTTTAAAGATCCAAGGAAAGAACGGCAAAGTACCAGAGTACCCAGATTTTAATTTTAAGAAGACAGTGACTCTCCAAGATCTTTAGGGGCTTCTCCAAGAAGGGTGATATGATCTTCCAATATCTAATGGGCTATCACAAGAGAACAGGGTAACAATCTATTTTCCAAAGCACCTGAGGCAGGACAAGAAGTAATCAATGAAGACTAATCAAGGACAGAATCAACCTAGAACTTAAGAGAAATTGCCTGTCAGTGAGAACAATTAATCTGTGGGATGACTTTCCTCTAGAAGTTGGAGGTTTTTAAGAAGAGAATAGATAATGTCTGGAATGGTACAGGCAGTCCTCAACCTATGGCCATAATTGTCCAAAATCTCCATTGTTAAGTGAGACATTTGTTAAGTGAATTTTGCCCCATTTTATGACCTTTCTTGCCTCTGTGGTTAAATGAATCACTGCAGTTCATAAGTTAAGTAACCCGGTTGTTAAGTGAATCTGTCTTCCCCATTGACTTTGCTTGTCAGAAGGTTGCAAAAAGTGATCATATGACCCTGGGAACACAGCAACGGTCATAAATAGGAACCAGTTGTGAAGCATCTGAATTTTGATCACGTGATCATGGGGAGGCTGCAAATGTCGTAAGTATGAAAAATGGTCATGAGTCACTTTTTTCAGTGCTGTTGTAACTTTGAGCGATGACTAAATGAACTGTTGTAGGTCGAGGACCACCTATATAGGGTTGAGCTAGAAGAGCTTCAAGGTCCCTTCCAGCTCTGTTATTCTGTTAACTTTCCTTCCTCTGCAATTCAGCCAGCAACAAATTGGCCCAGTCGTTCAGATGATCATCCAGGAAGACAAATGTTCAGCCCACAAAATCTCTTGGAGGAGTTGCCCCCTTTTCTTACCTCTATTTCTAACCATAGGATTGGGCCTTGCCAGTAGCAAGACCAAGCAACCAGAGTCTTCCTCTCCTTTAGCGGTGCTTGTCACCCAGGGCCGTCACCCAGGATAAATGATGGGGGAGCCAGAGGGTTTTGGATGCTGGATGGACAGACCCCCCACTCCTTCCTTTACTACAGCTTTCTTCTTGGAACAATTTGCTCTTTTTGCTGAGTAAGTCTGGCTTATTTTTTTTTTTTTTTTTTTTGAGATGGGGCAAGAATTGGGAGAAGAGAATCAAACCTAAACTAATTTCAGCATGCGTACATTAAAGTTTGCCCTCCTATGAGAAACTTTATTTCAATTAATATGGGTAGAAAATGCAAACGAAATGAATGAAACCCTGAGATGAAAAGGATTTAGGCTAGGGGTCTGCAACCTTAAACACTCAAAGAGCCATTTGGACCCATTTCCCACAGAAAAGAAAACACCGGGAACCAATAATTTAACCACCGGTGTGACTGGGTGGGCGTGGCCAACTCAATGTCATTCACTCCA